AGACCCTTGCCTGCCTCAGCAGGTCACTACGACCCCTTCACCTCTGACCCAGGGGGAGGGGACTGTATAGAATGACCTCCTAAGCCCCATTTGTCTGTCTCCTCTCTTTCTGTCTGTCTGTCTGTCTCTACATCTGCCAGAGGAAGGCTGGGTCTCTAAGCGTCCTTCTGTTCTGGCCTCCTCAGTCTGGGTTCTTGTCAGAGCAGCGTTGCTCTTGGGTTACTTTGGTTCCATCTCCTGGGGAATCAGGAACAAGGGGTCCGAGGGGGGGACCTCATGGGAGACTTTAGACAGACCCAGTGCCCTCGGGGCTGCTGCTCAGGAATCACAGGGCTGGGACCCAGGACCAGAATCCAGACCCAGAGTGAGGTAGGAGGTGGACGGGCTGCCCTGGGTGTCTGGGGGCTGCCAGGGACTGAGCCCTGAGCCAGCCTGAGACTCAGGAAACCCAGTCAGGAGGGAGAAGGGAGAAGCAGACTCTGGACACCAGAAAGCCAGGGAAAGGGTCTCCAAAGGAGAGGATGTGAGGAAAGGGCAGGCTCCTGGGTCTCTTCAGGACATATCCCACGCCCAGGGGGATCAGAGGGGGCAGAGTACACAGTGGGAAAGCCCCGCTGCAATGACCAGGTAGCCAGGACGTGGGGTGGATGCCAGAAAAGACCCCGTGGAATAAGAGAAACCCCAGGACAGCAGACAGACTCTCTGACCCCCCAGGCCCTTGCCCCACACACAGGCTCCAGAACTCATGTTTGGCTGCAACAGCCTGAGGGACCAAAACGCCCCAGCATCCCACAGAGCAGGGGAGCCAGGCCAGAAAAGTGACCTCAGAGGTCGCTGTGCAGGAGAGACACACAGCTCTCTTCATCTGCTCAGGGGACAGATGCCACCCAGAAGGCCCTGTCAGGATGGCAGGAGAGGGCAGGGTCAGGGCGCTGACGGTCAGATGTCCGTGTGGGAGGCCAACACCCCGAGACATCTCAGGACAGGTGATCAGAACGTGTCTAAGGTGAAACAGCTCCCAGTGCAGATCAGGACATGGTGGAAAACACCCTGAGCCCTCTGCACGGCACAGACCCTCGGACGCACAGCCCCGGAACAAGCGCACCCCAACATCTCATCATATACTGAGGTCAGGGGCTCCCCGGCTGGACACCGGGACTCTGACCCCCTGCTCCTCGTTCACCCCGCAGGTCAGCCCAAGGCTGCCCCCTCGGTCACTCTCTTCCCGCCCTCCTCTGAGGAGCTTCAAGCCAACAAGGCCACACTAGTGTGTCTGATCAGTGACTTCTACCCGGGAGCCGTGGAAGTGGCCTGGAAGGCAGATGGCAGCGCTGTCAACGCGGGAGTGGAGACCACCAAACCCTCCAAACAGAGCAACAACAAGTACGCGGCCAGCAGCTACCTGAGCCTGACGTCCGACCAGTGGAAGTCCCACAAGAGCTACAGCTGCCAGGTCACGCACGAAGGGAGCACCGTGGAGAAGACAGTGGCCCCTGCAGAATGTTCATAGGTTCCCAACCCTCACCCCACCCACGGGGGCCTGGAGCTGCAGGATCCCAGGGGAGGGGTCTCTCCTCCCACCCCAAGGCATCCAGCCCTTCTCCCTGCACTCAATAAACCCTCAATAAATATTCTCATTGACAATCAGAAATCTTGTTTTATCTCGCTTTTTCTTTTCTCACGTATAATTCCTAGCCTTTCCTGCCTTCTCAGTTTGGGATGGAAAGAATCCTGAACCCAGTGGGAAAGTTCCCCAGGTGAAGGGGTTCTCAGTCTCCTGGGTATCTCTGCAGGTGGGGCCTTCCTCACCCAGACACCACTTCCTCAGCTCTCCACTGTACCCCTGAGCCACCAACCTTGCCTGGCTGGACCAGGGGGGTGTCACACTCTCCTAGATTCTGTCTTTCAACAGAGACCTAACCACGCATCACACGGCACTGCTCGCATGCCTTCTGTGTCTGCTCCGGTCTCTGGGCTGAAGAGTTGCTGGTCTGGGACAGGGGATATGTCTGCTCTTTGTCACATGCCAGGTCCCTGACATGGCATCCCTGACGCTGTACACCGAGCCAGTGACTCCAGGGAGCTCTCTGTGTCAGAGGGATCCATGATCCAGAGCTTCATGTTGTCCTGCAAGCATCTGGTGGGATGTAGGTCTTGCAAAACTGGGAAATACCATGGTTCAGCACCAGGATGCAGGACGGTCCTGAGAGGGAAATCAGGAAAAATGAAGGGGTCTCTGAGGAGCCCAGATCCGTGGGCTAGAGGCAGAAATAAGGGTGAAGAGCACCTATGAGTCAATGTCATGGTCTCAGCAGGAACAGAGTTGAAAATCCCCATTCCACACGAGACCATTTAGTAGGAAAGGAGTCCATACTTGTGCTGCCACCGGAAGCACTCAGAAGGCTTGGACAATGAAACATACAGGTGCATTTCCTAGACTTGACGACGCACGTCCAAGAAAAGGCGATGAAAAGTTCTCTACTAGGGAAATCATTTCATATGATAAAACTTAGCTTTCCTAAAGTCACATTTATCCATCTGGCAGCTGAAAAAGCCCCATAATATTCTGCAAGGTACTCGTATTTCATGGAACTACTTTATGCAACATAAAGTGAGATTTAAGAACAAAGGTGTTACGGCTGTATGATCAGATGGCTGTAGGTTCAGGGTCAGGCTCAAGGTCTGAAGGAGGCCATGTCAAATTCATGACGAGAGTTGGAGCTGGGTCAGACTAGGTCAGGGCTATGTGAATGTGGGTGGAGGACTACAGGCAAGGTCAAGGCATCCAGGAAAACTCAGCTCCCCCAGACCCTCCTGCCCACTGGGACCTTCTCCCTCCCTTGTTCACAGTGGTAGAGGCTTCCTACCCAAACTGCTATGGAGGCCCTGGATGACTGTGCGTTCTTAGTGCCCAGGCAAACTTAGACTCCCTGTCTCTGCCTCCAGCACATCAGGGATGTGGCATCTGCCTTCACCAGAGCGGCTGGGTGGCCCTGACAGGCCAGGGACAGAGCCTACAAAGACAGGAAACTCTGCAGTCACAATGAGACACAGAAAGGGCCCCTTGGTGCTTGATCACAGCCACCTCTCCTCCAAATCCCAGCCTCTGAATTACAAGAAGACTGAAGGGTTCCAGTGGCCACAGTCCTTCTCTAAGCCCGTTTCACAAATGAGAAAACTAAGACCACCCCAGGAGGGCCAGATCCACAGCTCTGCTGGGTACAAAGCCACGTCTGCTTCACACCCAGCAGCTGTCCAAAGACTGACCTGCGTTATGAGTGTATATTATGAAGAACTTTGAACATACAAATAAGGACACAGAAAAATAACAATGTCCCATGTTCTCATTGCCCAGCACTCAAAATAAGCAAATCACAGATGATGCCGACCCACCTACAGCAAAATAAATTCTCCCTTATACAATATTTAGAAAGAAATACCAAACATCAGATCTGTTCACCTGTAAGTACTCCATTACTGTCCTGGAAGGATATGGACCTTAAAATAACTATAATATCATTACCACACCTAAACAGAAATTATCGCTAATTCCCTAATATCGACACATAAGCAGGGTCTCCTCAAATGCATCACAAACACCAGAAGTGCACTGACTTAGTTACATGTTGGTGCCGTTGTTTATATGAGGAGCAATATGGCACCAAATGGTAATGGGTGCATGTGCCGTCAGGCCGGTTGTCACTGGTGAATATCTCCTCAATTGCTCTAGAGCCTCCCAGCAAGGCAGGAGCTGCAGGAGCTGAGAGCTGTCTGGAGACCTTCCCCTGGCTGGAATACAGCCATGCCTCCTGGAGCAGGAACCTAGGGCTTCCCTTAGCTTTTATTTTCCTGGAAAATGATTCTAACATGAAGGGGATTAACTTGATTCAGATTGGACATTGCAAATGGCTTCCAAGGACATGGGGCTGCTGCCAGCCAAGTCACCCATGTCAGGTTGCCACTCTTGTAGTAATGTTGGGTGCACAGGATGGTCAATAGCTACATCCCTCAGATGGGAAGGAAGGTAGAGGGTTGAGGCTTCAGTTCAGCTCCTTCTCATGAGCGCTGCAGAGTGTCTGTGAAAGTCAGAGGTCTACAGCTGGGCTCTGTTCACCCAGGAGTGAGCTGCATGCTCTAGGAAGGAGCCACTTTGCACACAGATGATCCAGGGCCCAGTCATCCTTCCAGGGTGAACAATTCATGTCTTCTCTCATGGTGAATTCTAGGATTCAAGCCATCTAATATTTTTGAAGCCAACTGTCATTATATTCAATTGATGATGACAGGTGACCACCAATGATGAATATTTTTCCAGGGGAGGTCTCCCCAAGTGGCATCAGACTTCCTCACATGGCTCCAGGGGATTAAATGGCTCCTGATTAGTCAGAGGATAAGAGGTTCTGTCTTATCATGTCCCTTTCTTATTTGTCTGATGTGTTTTTCCTCCCTCAGGCCTAGGATTCCCCACTGATCTCCCATCCCTTAGTGAGAGATGGTATTTGGAGACCACATTCTGGAGGCTCCCTCATGTCCCCATTTGAAAAAGACAATGGCAGCCACCACCCCAGTTGTCCCACCCAACATCAGGCCAGATTCAGGGCTGCAGGGGATGCTCCCAGGGTTACCCTAACACATGTGGCTGGCATTTCATATTGGGACCAGCCAGGCCTCACTGACCAGGCCTAGCCAACTAGAACTACTCCAGAAGGTGGGGCTGGAACCCACCAAGGTTCCCAGAACACTGCACTCTAGGGCAACCAGCCTCTCCATGGGAGGAGAGGAGCACCCTCGGCACCACCCCATGGTGTTACCAAAAGTTGAACCATGGGTTGGGGTTCAACTTTGCAGAGAAGAGCCCACCTATCCCATCTGTGGAAATTCACTCCTTAGCGACACTAATGCCCTCCAATAAATTCAATCCTGGGCCTGACTGATGGTTGGCGCAAAAACCAAATCCAAGATCCCAATGTCCTCCAGACGCCTGGACTTCCAGAGATCCTGCTGCAAGTCACAGGATGTCACTGGTCCCCTTCTCTCTGTGGGTTGAGTGTGGGGGCCATGTGGACTCCCTCATGAGCAGATGCCACCAGGGTCAGTGGCCCCAGCTTCCTCCTTCACAGCTGCACTGGGGGCTGGGGGTAGGGGCATCCCAGGGAGCATTTTTGTATGAGCCTGAGTCACAGTGTGTGTTATTCGGAGGAGGGACCCGGCTGACCGTCCTAGGTGAGTCTCTTCTCCCCTCTCCTTCCCCACTCTTGGGACAATTTCTGCTGTGTTTGTTTGTTTCTGCATCTTGTCTCAATTTGTAGTCAGGCTTTCTCCCTGGATCCCAGGCCTGAGCAAGGACCTCTGCCCTCCCTGTCAGACCCTTGCCTGCCTCAGCAGGTCACTACGACCCCTTCACCTCTGACCACAGGGGGAGGGGACTGTATAGAATGACCTCCTAAGCCCCATTTGTCTGTCTCCTCTCTGTCTGTCTGTCTGTCTCTACATCTGCCAGAGGAAGGCTGGGTCTCTAAGCGTTCTTCTGTTCTGGCCTTCTCAGTCTGGGTTCTTGTAAGAGCAGCGTTGCTCTTGGGTTACTTTGGTTCCATCTCCTGGGGAATCAGGAACAAGGGGTCCGAGGGGGGGACCTCATGGGAGACTTTAGACGGACCCAGTGCCCTCGGGGCTGCTGCTCAGGAATCCAGACCCAGAGTGAGGTAGGAGGTGGACGGGCTGCCCTGGGTGTCTGGGGGCTGCCAGGGACTGAGCCCTGAGCCAGCCTGAGACTCAGGAAACCCAGTCAGGGAGAAGCAGACTCTGGACACCAGAAAGCCAGGGAAAGGGTCTCCAAAGGAGAGGATGTGAGGAAGGGGCAGGCTCCTGGGTCTCTTCAGGACATATCCCGCGCCCAGGAGGATCAGAAGGGGCAGATGGGAAACAGTGGGAAAGCCCCGCTGCTATGACCAGGTAGCCGGGACGTGGGGTGGATGCCAGAAAAGACCCCGTGGAATAAGAGAAACCCCAGGACAGCAGACAGACTCTCTGACCCCCCAGGCCCTTGCCCCACACACAGGCTCCAGAACTCATGTTTGGCTGGAACAACCTGAGGGACCAAAACGCCCGAGCATCCCACAGAGCAGGGGAGCCAGGCCAGAAAAGTGACCTCAGAGGTCGCTGTGCAGGAGAGACACACAGCTCTCTTCATCTGCTCAGGGGACAGATGCCACCCAGAAGGCCCTGTCAGGATGGCAGGAGAGGGCAGGGTCAGGGCGCTGACGGTCAGATGTCCGTGTGGGAGGCCAACACCCCGAGACATCTCAGGACAGGTGATAAGAAGGTGTCTAAGGTGAAACAGCTCCCAGTGCAGATCAGGACATGGTGGAAAACACCCTGAGCCCTCTGCACGGCACAGACCCTCGGACGCACAGCCCCGGAACAAGCGCACCCCAACATATCATCATATACTGAGGTCAGGGGCTCCCCGGCTGGACACCGGGACTCTGACCCCCTGCTCCTCGTTCACCCCGCAGGTCAGCCCAAGGCTGCCCCCTCGGTCACTCTCTTCCCGCCCTCCTCTGAGGAGCTTCAAGCCAACAAGGCCACACTAGTGTGTCTGATCAGTGACTTCTACCCGGGAGCCGTGGAAGTGGCCTGGAAGGCAGATGGCAGCGCTGTCAACGCGGGAGTGGAGACCACCAAACCCTCCAAACAGAGCAACAACAAGTACGCGGCCAGCAGCTACCTGAGCCTGACGTCCGACCAGTGGAAGTCCCACAAGAGCTACAGCTGCCAGGTCACGCACGAAGGGAGCACCGTGGAGAAGACAGTGGCCCCTGCAGAATGTTCATAGGTTCCCAACCCTCACCCCACCCACGGGGGCCTGGAGCTGCAGGATCCCAGGGGAGGGGTCTCTCCTCCCACCCCAAGGCATCCAGCCCTTCTCCCTGCACTCAATAAACCCTCAATAAATATTCTCACTGACAATCAGAAATCTTGTTTTATCTCATTTTTTCTATTCTCACGTATAATTCCTAGCCTTCCCTGGGTTCTCCATTTAGAGTGGAGGGAATTCTGCACCCAGTGGGAAAGTCACCCAACGGAAGAGGCTCACAGCCTCCCCGAGTCATCTTCTCAGAGGGTCCTTCCTCTCCCAGTCACCCTTCCCCCAACTCTCCGCCATACCCATGACCCTGGCATCAGCTCAGACCAGTCCAACACCCTCCTCAATTTTACTTTTCAATGAAGACCTGATCACATAGAACCCAGTTTCCAATGTGCCATCTGTCTGGTCATGTGCCTTTGCTAAAGGGTCACTGCTCAGAGACAACGGGCAGTTTGAAGTGAGATCCCACGCCCCCATCATCCCACACCCTACACAACCTGCCAGGGAATCAGGTGAGCTCCTTGTGCCAGTGGGAACCATGATCCGGAGCAGAAAGTTGTCCCTGCAGAGTGGGTCCTGAAATGCAGTTCTTGCCCACCTGGGAAGGATGTGGAACCTAGTGAGGACAGAGTGGTGACCCCGAGCGGGGTATCAGGGAGAAACGAGGAGTGTTCCAGGACCCCTGCTTTGGACTAGAGACGGAAAACCCTTGAGCCCAGGCCAAGATCAGAGCAGGAACAGGGTTGAACTTCCCTGTCCCATCCATGATATCCAGTTAGGAGACCATTTACTAGGTGAGGGGTCCATGGTTGTGCCATCACCAGGGAGACATGAAAAGGCTGGAAAATGGAACCCTTTAGTGTAGTTCTCACTTTCACAATGCACATTAGCTATGAAAGATGCTAACAAGTAATGCAGTTGTAAACAGTTCTTTTTTTTTTTTTTGAGACGAAGTGTTGCTGTGTGGCCCAGGCTGGAGTTCAGGGGTGTGATCCCGGCTCACTGCAAGTTCCGCCTCCCAGGTTCACGCCATTCTCTTGACTCAGCCTCCCGAGTAGCTGGAACTACAGGTGCCCACCACCATGCCCAGCTAATTTTTCTATTTTTAGTAGAGACGGGGTTTCACTATGTTAGCCAGGATGGTCTCAATATCCTGACCTTGTGATTTGCCCTCCTCAGCCTCCCTAAGTGCTGGGATTACAGGTGTGAGCCACTGCGACCTGCCAACAGTTCATTTTATATAACCTTGCAAGTCAAGAATTTTCTATTCACTGTCTCAACCAACTTAGCCCTAGGGTGCTCTTCAAGACACTGATATTCGTGTCACTAGTGCTGGGACATGGGCCGAGGCTGAGGCACACAGATGATTCGTTGTGATCAAATGGGTCAGGCTCAGGGTTAATACTTGCCAGGTCAGAAAGAGAGCATAGGGCTGTGACCTCAACCATGAAGAGTCTCAAATTCTAAAGTCAGGGGACACAGTAGAGTTAGATTACGGTTATGGCTGGAGCCACGATGGCCAGCCTGTGGGAGGGTAGGACTCAGGTGGACTGGACTGAATGAGAAAGGTACCATCTCAAGCATAGAATGGGCATCACTGGCTATCTGATGGAGGCTGTGTCAAAATCATATTCACCCAAGAATCAGGGCCAGGTCACACAAGGTCAGGGCAGGGTAAGTGTGAATTAAGGGCTACAGGCAGGTCAGGCTTTCATAAGACTCAGCTATCCTAGACCCCACCCCACCAGGGTCCCTCCCTCACTCATGTGACTCAGCCCCTCCATGTGCACCTACAGCCTGATGTCAGAGACACAATCGTCCCAGGGTCCCCGACAGTGGATGAGATGGCCTTGAGAGATGTACTTCCCAGCACTCCTCATCAGTCTTGGGCGCTGTCAGGCCCCTTCTTGGTGCCTCCAGCACATCAGCGATGTGGCGGGTGCCTTCACCAGAGTTGCTGGGTGGTTACGCCAGGCCGGAGACAGAGCCTGCAAGGGCAGGGAACTCTAGGGCCATAGTGGGGCAGAGAAGGGGCTCCTCTTGGAGCCTAATCATAGCCACCCCTGCCCGAAATCACAACCTACAAGTTAGAAAGAAACTTAAGGGTCCTGATTCCCACTACCCTGTCTGGCCCCATTTCATGGATGTGAAAGCTGAGGCTCCAACAGCAAAGAGGACCGCATTGCTCTCCACCTTCTCAATGGCCCTGCTGGGTAGGAAGCCAGACTCCCCTCTGGATGTCCCCTGGTACTGTCCCAAAACTAATCTCTCTCATTACTGCCTTGTAAGACATTATAGGAAACTGACAGTAAGAAAATTTAAAAACAGGAGGATAATACAGCTCAAGTTGACCCACCCACAATCAAGTAACCTCTTTTACACAGTTGTTTGCAGCAAATTGTAGACATCATGCCCATTAGTCTAAACATTCCATTTGTGTCTCTAAACATATGGACCCCAAAAAAACTACATTCTCACAAACCTAAATAGAAATTGTCAATAATTCTTTCATATCAAAAAAAGGATGTTTCCCATCAAATACTTCACAAATGTCCTATGTTTCTTTCACTAGACCTGGGTTTGTGTTGTTATTTTGTGGTTTTGCATTTCATTTCTATGAGGATTCCATACAGTTGGAAATTGTGACTGGTGGCTGTGTTTTTAGACCTGTTCTGTCTGCAGGTATCTTCCTAGTTGATTTTTAATTTCCTCGCAAGGCAGGAGCTACAGGAGCTGAGGGCTGGTCCCAGGACCTTCCCACGGTCAGGATGCAGCCTGCTACCTCCCCAAGCTGGAACCAAGCGCTCCTCTCTGCTTCTGTGTTTCCTGAAAACGGATTCTTGGACAGAAAGTTTTAACAAGGCTCAGTGTGACTTTTCAGCAAGACCGCTTGGCTAGTGGGCTCCCATATGGGGTCATCTATTTGTGATATTAGCTGGGCTTTGCACTTAGTATCCAGTGCCATTAGATGGTATACAGATGCAAGGTGACCGCACTTCAGTTCAACCACCTTTTCCTTCTACTGAGCATCTGTAAAGGGTGTGCCCTCATATGTTCTGTGCTCCTCTGGGAGTACGATTCTTATTTCAGTAAGAAATAGCATAGACATGTTGAGTCTTTCCTTTCATTTATAGCATCTTAATAATGATGACCGTGTTGCCTGCCATCTTGTGAAGATGAACAATTATTTCATGGTGAGCTCAAAGTTATGTTACTGTATATGACTCACTTGAGTCCACCATAGTTCTGTTTTACCGATGATGACAATGACCCACCATGGCCCACTGGGTGCCTCTTCTGGTGGCCCCAGGATCCTCCTGAAAGAACCCAGTAGATCTTGACAGCTTTCTGCTCTCTGTTCACAATCTGTCCTGGGCACATCTTTCTCCTGCCTTTGTGTCTGTAATTGCCCATTAACCTCAAGTGGACTGGTCCCCGTAAGTGGGAGGTAGGATTTAGTGACCACACTTGGGGTGCTACTCACACAGCCCTTTTGAGTCAGAAACTCCAGACATACCCAAAAATGAGACGAGACCCTGAAAGGGTAACAGGGGCTTGCTTCCAACTTTTCCCTGGAGGTTGAGGCTGGCATTTCATACTAGAACCTAGTGAGCCCATCCCAAACTAAGACAACACCAGGAGGATAGAAGTGAGACCCCCTGGTGATGTGGTTGCGGTCACACTGGAGCTTCTCATGACTGCTGGCTGTGAGGCAAGCTGCCCCTCCTCTAAGGCACTCACTGGGGACACTTGAGGACGCCTCCAGCTCTTACCCTGCAGTCACACCAAGAGATCAGGGTTACAACCCTGTAAGTATAGACAATCCCTGTCCCCTTCCGTGTCACTTCACTCCTTCATGAAGCAAATGCCCTCCAAAGAGCTCATTCCCATTCCTGGGTCACAGTCACATGGAAAATCTGATCCAGATACCAACTTCCTCAGGCCTCTCCATTTCCAGACGTGCCATTATTGCATACATGGGGTTGACCATCCCATCTCAGCTCCAGAAGGGGAGACAGGTGTGTGGACTCTGCTGAGCAAATGCCCGCCAGGGGCAGTGGTCTGGCTTCCTGCATCATAGCTTCAGGTGGGGGATGGGGAAGGGGAGTTGGGGGCCCCAGGGAAGAGTTTTTGTATGAACCCGTGTCACGGCATTTGGTATTCTGTGGAGGGACCCAGCTGACCATTGTAGATGAGTGTCTTCTTCCCTTTCCTTCCCTGCTCTCGCCAAGTTGGTGGCAATTTTATTCTGATTTCGATCTTTGTCTGTGACTTGCCACAGCCTGTGGTCAGGGTTTCCTTTAGAACCTCGGTCCTGGGAGGCTAATCTCTCCCCTCCCTATTCAGAACTCCTGTATGCCTCAGCTGGTCACTGAGACACCTTCATGTCCTCTGACCCCAGAGGCAGGGAGTTCCAAGACAAGACCACACTGGTATGTCTCATGAGTGACTTCTACCTGAGAGCCATGACAGTGGCCTGGAAGCTAGATGACATCTCCATCACCTAGTGTGTAGAGACCACCACGCCCTCCAAACAGAGCAACAAGGCTACCTGAGCCTGGTGCCAGACAGTGGAAGTCCCACAACCTCTACATCTGCCAGGTCACGCAGGAAGGGAACACCGTGGAAAAGACAGTGGCCCCTGCAGCATGTTCTTAGGTATCCGACCCTCACCTACCCACGGGGTCCTACACCTGCAGGATCAGGTCACGTGTCTCCCCTCCTACCCCAAGTCATCCAGCCCTTCTCCCTGCACCCCTAAATCCCTCAATAAATATCCTCATTGGCAACAAGGAATCCTGCTCCCTCTTTTCATTTCCTATCTACTATTTAATTTGCAACCTCCTTGAATTCTCAGTGGGGATGAGGAAAATCCTGGTGCCCAGTTTATTGGGTGAGAAGTCATGGTGGTGCCATCACCAGGAACTTGTGGAAAGGAACTGGGAATGGAAACTCACAGGTGAATTTCACAGATTTTCACAACCCAGGTTGGCTAAGCAAAGACACTGACAAGCCCTGCAACAGGGAAACAGAAAGTCCAGAATCCTGCTCAATGTCCCAGCCAACTCAGTGAGCCCTAGCATGCTCTGCAGGATACTGGTGTTCAT